AGTATGTTGCTGTGTGTTGGGTGCTGTTGAGTTGACTCTGGCTCCTAGCAGCCCTGTATACAACGTAGTGAGACACTGCTCAGACTCGCTCCGTCTTCACAGTTGCTCTGCTTGAGCTCATTGTTGCAGCCACCGTGCCAATCCACCTCCTTCTCTTTCGCTGACCCTCTCCGTTAGCAAGCAGGATGCCTTTTCCAGGGACCGATCTCACCTGATAACATTTCCAAAGTGAGGGAGGCAAAGTCTTGCCATGCTTCAAAGCAGCATTCTGATTGTACTTCTTTGAAGGCAAATGTGTTTGTTCTTGCGACAGTCTATTCTTTGTCAACACCATAATGAAAATGCATCCGTTCTTTGGTCTTTCTTATTTATTGTGCAGCTTTCCCATGCCTAAGAGGCAAATGAAAATACCATGGGGGGGTCAGCCACACAGTAGTCCTCAAAGGGACGTCTTTGCTCTGTAACACTTGAAAGAGGCCTGCGCGGCAGATTTTCCCAGAGCAGGATGTCTTTGACTTCCTCCATGAGTGTTGACTGGGAGCCCAAGGAAAACTTCGTGACCATTTCAATCTTTTCTCTCTTTGTCATGTTTTCTGTTTTCCCAGCTGTCAGGGTTTTTCTTTTCTTTACATTGAGTCGTAATTCATACTGAAGTCTGTCGTCTTTGATCTTTACCAGTAAGTACTTCAAGTCCTCTTGGCTTCCAGCAAGCAAGGTTGTGCCACCTGTGTATCTCAGGTTGTTAATAAGCCTTCCTCCATTCCCAATGCCACATTCTTTGTACAGTCTAGCATGGTGGATTATTTGCTCAGCACACAGATTAAGTGTGGTGCAAGGATACAACCACATAATTTTCCTGATTTAAAACCATGCAACATCCCCTAATTCTTTTAGAATGACTGCCTCTTGGTCTTTGTACAGGTTCCACATGATCACAATGAACGGTTTTGGAATTCTCATTCTTCCCAAAGTTATCTATAGTTTGTTATGATTCACAGAGCTGAATACCTTTACAGAGTCAATAAAGCACAAGTAAACAGCTTTCTTATTTGCTTTCTTCCAAGATCTATGCGATGTCAGCAATGATATACCCCATGTCCTGACTTCTTCTAAATCTTCCTTGAATTTCTGGCAACTCCCTGTTTTCAAATTATCTTCAGCAAAATTTTACTTGCATGTGATATTAATGATATTGTTCAATAATTTCCACATTCTGTTGAGTCACCTTTCTTTGGAATGGCCACAGAGATGAATCTCTTCCATTCACTTGACTGTCTTCCACTTTTCTTGTTAATTGTTTTCAAATTATCTTCAGCAAAATTTTACTTGCATGTGATATTAATGATATTGTTCAATAATTTCCACATTCTGTTGAGTCACCTTTCTTTGGAATGGCCACAGAGATGAATCTCTTCCATTCACTTGACTGTCTGCCACTTTTCTTGGCGTACACTGGTGAGTGTTTCATCAGCTGGACGGAACATTTGCATTCATATTCTGTCCATTCCTGGAACTCTGTTTCTGTTTTCTAATGCCTTCAGTGTAACGGGATCTTCTTTCTTCCATCAGATCTTAATCATGCTACCTCTTGAAGGGCTGAACATGGACCAATTCTTTTTGATACAGTGACTGTGTATTCCTTCTATCATCTTTTGATGCTCCCTGTATCATTAGATTCCATAGTCAGTGGTATATATATATATATATATTTTACTTTTAGTATTCTTTATTATTTTCAGTATCTCTGAGCTTTCATATAGGGTAATTTTATCCTTCTGTCTGTTCCTGATTAATCCTATCAGTTCTAGTTTGAAAATATTTTTATTTCACCTTTGTTTTTGAAGGTTATTTTCACCGGATCAGAATTCTAAGTTGGCAGGAATTTTCTTTCAGCACTCTGAAGATGCTGTCTGTTGGGTCCTGGCTTCGACTGTTTCTGTGGAAGTCGCTGTCCGTTTGCTGCCCTGCCTTTGGAGATAACATCTACTCTTCTTCTGGCCCTTGGGTTTCAGCAGTTTTACCCTGAGTTTTAGTTGTGGTTTATTTGTTCTAAGGCTGCTTGGTATTCATAGCACTTCTGAAGTCTGAGGCTTGAGGTTGTTCATCAATTTGAGGGAATTATTATTATATCTTCAGATATTATGACTGCCATTTTCTTGTTCTTCTCTCTCTCTCAGACTAAATATGTTTATTATATAAGTCCCTCACTATTCCATATGCCACCCATACCTTTTATAGCTTTTCCAGACTTTTCCCACTTCCTGTTCTTGTTTAGATATTTTCTGTTCTTTTTGGGGGTGGGGTATCTTTGTTTGTTTAATTTTAATTTTCATAATAAATCAATTTAATGGGGATTCTTATAGCTCTTATAACAATTCATACATCAGTTGTATCAATCACATTTGTACATTATGTTGCCATCAACATTTCCAAAACCTTTTCTTTCTACTTCAGTCCTTGCTATCAACTGTTTTTTTTCCTCCTTCCCCTACCTTCCTACTCTTGTGAACCCTTAATAATTTATAAATTATTTTTATTTTCATATCTTGTACCATCTGCTGTCTCCCTTCCACCCACGTTTTCTGTTGTTTATCCCTCGGGAACGGGATGGGGTTCATTTAGATATTTTCTTGTTGCCTGTTCTGTAGGTCCCAAATTTTCTTTTCAACAGAACCTAATCTGGTGTTTAACTAGTCTGCACATTTCTTGAATTTTTGTGATTGTATTTTTCTGTTCTAGAATTTCCATTTGATTACTTTTTATAGTATTTGCAATTGTCTGCTTGACTTTTTTATCTTGTCACTTTTAAATACATTACTTAACATGTATTTATGTGTCTACATGTGTAACACATGTATATAAATATGTTACATATGTGTAAATAGTGTAAGTATACTTTAAATATTTTAATATTAAAACTAGTCAAATATTTACATTTTAATGAGTATACTACTATTTTACTGCTTGTTGTTTACCATAAGTTATTTCTAAGTCCATACGTGATAACTCCAGGAGCCCCGATGCACAGTAGACAGGCATTGGGCTGCTAAATGCAATGTCAGCAGTTTGAAATAATCAGCTTCTCAGCGGAAGAAAGATGAGGCTTCCAACTCCTGTCAAGAGTCTTGGGAGCCCACAGGGGCAGTTCGATCCTGTCCTGTAGAGTAACTATGAGTCAGCATCAACTTGAAGACAGTGAGTGTGTTTATGTTTGGTTTTATGTGCTAACACTAGTATGTAGATATTTTTTTAAAGATCATTTTATTGGGGGCTCTTACAGCTCTTATAACAATCCATATATCAATTATATCAAGTATATTTGTACACATGTTGTCATCATTATTTTCTAAACATTTACTTCCTATTTGAGCTCTTGATAATCAGCTCCTCTTTTTTCCCTCCCGCTGCCCCACCATGACCCCTTGATAAAATAGAAATTATTTTTATTTTCATACCTTACACCGACATCTTTCCCCCTTCACTCACGGTTTCTTTTGTTCATTCTTCTCGTGTGTGTGTGTGTGTGTGTGTGTGTGTGTGTTTATGTGTCGATCATTGTAATCAGTTCCACCTCCTCTCCCCATCTTCCCTCTACTTTCCTGGTATCACTGCTCCCATTTCTGTTCCTCAGGGGTTTATCTGACCTGGATTCCGTGTATTGTGAGCTCTTATCTGCATCAGGGTACATGCTCTGGTTTAGCCAGAACTGAAAGGCAGGACTGGGGTCAGGATAGTGGGGGTTGAGGAAGCCTCAAGGAACCAGAGGAATCTTGTGTGTTTCATCAGTGTTATCCTGCGCCATGGTTGACCCTTCCTTGTGACCCTCCTGTGAACCTTTCTGTCCATTGCCTACAGATGGCTTTTGGGTCTCTGCTCTGACCCACCTTGTTCTCAACAATATGTTAGTCTATAGCTCTCTTGCTGATCTCTATCATTTGCTTTGTTGTTTTTGCTGTTTTGGTTTCTATTTTTTACTTGTAAAAATCTAGTCATTTTTAATTAGGTGATAAGCATTGTTTATTGGAGACCTGTAGAGAAATTTGAGGCTCTGGGTGATACTATCTTTTTTCAGAAAGTTGTTTTTCTCCTAAAGATCATCTTGACGAAATCAAGGATTGCCTTGATTCGAAGCTGGAGTTCATTTTTATGAGGGGTAGTTTATTTCTAGTTCACAATTGCTCCCAGGCTTGCTTTCAGAATTTTAGCTGCTTTGAGGGGAAAGCTACTTCAGACTCTCTTGAATTTTCTGTTTGGGCACTGGTTTTACAAATTCTCACTGAAACCACTGCCCCCACACTCCAACACACAAGCCACAAATATATTGTCTAATTCATCTCAGAAGGGGGTTGTAGTAAATGACCTGGAAGGGTGGTTTTGGATCTCCTCTGACTTTACATGGGAGAAGGAGAATCAAGATTCCCTGTCAGCCTGTGTGAGGCCAGGTTGACTAGAGAAACAAAGCCAAGAACACACACATCTGTGTAAGGAAGAGCTTTATATCAAGAGATAATTATATATCAAGCAAACATCCAACCCAGTCTAGATCAAGTCCATAAGTCCGATACTAGTCCGTAAACCCCTCTTCAGACTCATGAAGCCACATGCACTGGTGCAGGAGAATCACAGGCTGGTGGGAACTGTCTTGTGGATCCAATGGTGGCGGATGCATCTCTAGGGCTCGCCCAGGACTCCATGTGGCGTCAACAGAAAGGTGAAAGCAGAGAGAGAGGGGAAGTTCCCAGCGTCCTCCTGATGAGAAGGCCATGCTCACCAGGAGGTACCATCAGGCTGTGACCTGATTGACAGGCTAGACTCCACCCCTACACTTAAAAAAAAAAAGATTTTATTCAGAGCTCTTACAGCTATCATAATATTTCCATAGTTCTATCACATCAAGCAGTATTGAACAATTGTTTCAATTGAAACAGTCAGTTTCAAAATATTTTATTTCTTCTTGAACTCCTTGATATCAGCTCCCCTTTATCCCATTCCTCCCTCCTGCCCCCACCCTCCCGCCCCGGAATCCTTATTTTATTTTTTTGCTGTATCTTACACCGTCCAATATATCCATTCACATACAATTCTGTTGTTTGCTCCCTTGAGCAGGGTTATATAGTCAGCAATGCTATCAGCTTCCTCCTCCTTCCTCCTCACTCCTCACTTCCTGTTACCTCGGGAACCATCACTCCTGTTACTGTTTCTGAAGGGTTATCTATCTTGGCTGACATGAATTGAATTATACAAATGAACGTACACAAGTCTGACATGGTCAATGAGGTAAAACAAATAAAAACCACGATAGTAAGGGGAGGAAATATTAAAGAACTAGAGAATAGTTGTTTGTTTCATCAGTGCTATGCCACATTCTGGATTTATCATCCCTTCCATGTAGCCCTTCTGATAAGGACTGCCCAATTATCTTGCAGGTGGGTTTTGGGTCTCCACTACATCCCACCCTTCACATCAATTTGCTTGCTTGTGTTTGGACTTCTGATACCTTTTCTGTTGACACCTCATGATCACACAGGCTGGGGTGCTTCTTCCAAGTGGGCTTTGTTGCTTCCCTGCTAGATGGCTACTTGTTTGACTTCAAGCTTTTAAGACTCCAGACATTAGATCTTTAATGGTGGGGCACCATCAGCTTTCTTCACCACATTTGCTTATTTATTTATTTTTTTTTCACATTTGCTTATTTTGTCTTCAAAGATTGTGTGATAAATGTGAGTATCATACAATGCCCCATTATTAGAAAAAACTATTCTTGTACTGAGGTAAGATTTAAGTAGAGGCCTAAGTCCATCTGCTTCCTTATTGCATTTGCCTTTATAAACATATATAAACAAACATAATCTATATTTAAATATGTATATATATATTTTTTCCCTTTCTTCTCCTTTTCTCTTTTCCCCTGCCCCACTATCCTGCTTACCATCATGCACCTCTCAGTGATTCCTCTCAGATACAATTCTGTTGATCTAACATGACCAGAAGAGCTACACTCTCCTTACCATCAATTTTAGAACCCTTACTATTCTCCTGTACCATCATTATTGGTTCACTGCTCTCCTCCCCTCTCATGCCCCCCAGGAACCATTGGTCCAGTTGCTGTCTCTGTAGAACTGCCTATCCTCCCTATCTTGTATAGATAAACACACACACACACACACACACACACACACACACATCATACAAGTAGTCACCAGTCTCTCAGGGATCCTGACACAGAGCAGATGCTTATCATTTTGTTAAATAGAGAGAAGGACATGTAATAATCTATCAATCCAGTCCCTTCTTCTTTCAGAGTTCCATGTGCCGGGTCCCGCTTACCTGACAGCACATACACCTTTTTGGTCTTCAGCATTTCTGTCCAAAAGGCAAGCATCCTAAAAGTCCCTATTGCTAATCCTGCAGTTTGGGATGGAGTGGTCTAGGCAGCACCCCACCCCCTCTGCCGTTACACCCTTTAGTCTTTCAGTGTGGCCCCATTGTGAGTAACCCCCAACCAGTTCAGGAAAGTTGTATTTCTCATCGTTGTTACATCGCACCCTGACTGGCTCATCTC